TTCTGGATTTTTATTCTTAAAAGTGCTCGACACTACACACAGAAAAATATATACTACCTGCAAGTAAATATTATTTGTTCCAAGTATTTGATAAGTTTATATATCCGCAAATCTATCATAATGCCGTCGCAAGTGTTATATTTACTCAAAACATATTCTGGTTCTTAGTAAGTCTAGTACTTCAAACAAGAATACGTAGAATTATTTGAAGCAAAACAATTTTGTTTCTTCTGATTTTATTAAAAGAAGCATATACGGAATTCTTCAATAAGTTTTATAATTTTCTTCAAAGAAGAATAAATTCTTTCTTTGAGTATAAGTTGGCAAGCTTTTCTAAGACTAGTAACAAGTATATCTTAAAACTATTATTAAGAAAATATTCTTTGTTGAAGCAAACTATTACTTAAACGGAATAAAATAAACTGAGTAATTACTTTTCTTGACTGTACAATAATATTTTTCTGTGTGTAGTCATTTCTTTTATCGCTCCGATCTAGTCCCTGATATTATATTTTTATTTTCGTGCTTGAAGTCCGAGTTGTGCGGAAAAAGTTCGTATGAAATTTAAATTTTTGACGTAAAAATTATCTTTGCAGCATTAAAAAATCGGATGGGTTAAAAATTTTTAAGAATATATATTTTCCTAGTAGCATAGAAAAATTAATTCAACGTTCTAAAAAATATATTAAAATAAAGGGTGATTATATTGAACGACAAATTGTTAGAAGTATTGTCAGTTGTTTAAAGATATTGTTATAACTTTTTATCCTTGAACATCTTTGGACCTTACTGTGTATCTTCGTGAAGTACACCGAACGTATCAAATACGAATTAACAATCTCGGATCTCGACTTAAACGCGGGTATAATCGTGTTTAGAACGATAGAACGTAGCCGTAGACGAATAAAAAGATAATTATGGCGATCTTGATCACCTCAGGGAAGCGGAATTTGGAATGAGATTCCGATGAATTCAATCAGAATTAATCCGGCCACATTCTTGTCGGTCCGATTTCACACTTCAACAGAACTTTGTACTTGAATTCGTTAATTCATCATATCAAGCCTTTTACGCATTTGTAGACGCACAAGATACTCGAATGAACTATAAAAGGTTAACGTTATCTTGCACTTCGTTTACAATGCACTTTCCTAAAGTAATTGTATTTCGAAACAATTAGCGATCGTGGATAAACAGAGATAAGAAATAAATGGATGCTCTTGTCGTTATGTAATAGTAAATCGAATCGGTCTTGTGGGCGATGATAAGCGCACTGTGCGGCGCGAATATCGGCAGATAATTTACAAATGTCGGGATCGTCTTGGATTTCGGGAAAAAGGGAAAATTTTTTTAAAAGTCGACCAGACTGGCAAAAAGTGATCTTTGTTTAAGTCACAACGTTTCGACCTCTTTATCGGGTCCCTTTTCAAGTGCAGTCTAATGTTGACTGAAAAAATTAATTATGCCGAGACAGAATGAGTTCATGAGTCTGTGGCAGCAAATTCATGATGTCACGTACGTCTCGGTAGTCAGTGGATTTTTAATAGCGGTGTCAATTTCTAAAATTTCCGAGCAGCAACCGTACGTTAGTGGACCTCGAATAAGACTAGTTTCGGCATAAATTAATTTTTTCAATCAACATTAGATTGTACTTGAAAAGGACCCGATAAAGAGGTCGAAACGGTGTGACTGAAACACTTTTTTGCCAGTCCGATCGACTTTTTAAAAAATTTTCCCTGCGTTCAATTACCACTGGCGACAATGAGCTTCACTCAATTTTGTTCAGTAATTGAATTATTAGACATTACTGATGTACAGTAATTTTCTAGTAATTATTTCGCTTACATTTCTACAAGGGGTATCGTGAGCTCTATTGGATTATAAAACTTGAGAAGATTGCTTGACCATGTCTGGCAAATTGTTATGTTCAAACTCACGACGTTTCGACCATTGTTTTTGGTCCTTTTCAAGTGATTTAACAAAGAAATTACAGGTAGTTTCAATACAGAGTTGATGCATAAATGAGTTAACAAATAGATAAGTTACATAAATTACTGTCGGAAACTATCTGTAATTTCTTTGTTAGGTCACTTGAAAAGGACCAAAAACAATGGTCGAAACGTCGTGAGTTTGAACATAAAAATTTGCCAGACATGGTCAAGCAATTCTCTGAAGGTTTTTAATTACTTCTGGCGACTTATAAGATTCCCTCCGTCATCTATTGGATTATATTAGTATCGACACCAGGCGATTTCTAATTGAATTTAAAATTAGAAGGGAAAGGTACAGATCAATTTTGCGAGATGAAAGACAAAAGGAGAGACCAGTAGATTAGTGGCGAGAGTAGCGTAATTCGTACGAGCTGGACGAGTTGCGGATGGTTCGGTTGAGTAAAACGTGTGTGCTTTGCTTTTCTTCTTCGCAGTTGGATCCTACGCATTTTCTGGGTGGGTTACCGCAGAGATCTTGAAGTAACTGATTTGTACACACCGCTTAAAGAGCATACAAGTGGTATTCTTGGTGTTAAAATAGCGAAGGCCTGGGAGAAAGAATACGAGGCGTACCAGCGTCGACTGGAGCAGAGCACGAAGAGCGGCTCGCAGAAGAAGGTCAGGCAGCCCAGCCTGACGAGAGTCCTCATCAGATGTTTCGGCTTTCACACCATGCTGTACGGGATTTTTATGGCCGTTATGGAGATCGTGCTCAGGTATATCTCTCATTATCCCGTGACGGCTCCTCTGTGGAGTCCAATTTCTTACATTTCCTGTATTTGTGGTGTCTGGACAGAAAGCGTAACAAGTTGCGGGTGATTTTGATCCTTGAGTCGCGACCAAGCGTTCTCTATTAACGAGACTTCCGCGGTATTTTTTTAATCGAGAACAAAAATTTAACTAACAAGTAAAGATTACCTAATTAAATGATTATCCAATTAAATGTTTGTAAAATTGTAGGTCCCCGTAAGGATCTTCGCGATGGAAAGATACAATGGTTATGAATTTAAAAGCGACTTAAAATTATAGATTTTTAATTTCCACTGAGGTTTATATAATCCAAATTGTTGGACAAACTTGCGTTTCGCAAAGTTTTTAAATCGTCCAGTTTTTTTCCGTCCGTTATTCGCTCGAATATTCAGTATTAAATATATTTGATAAAAATTGTGATTCGAAGCATAAGTTCTCCCTTCCGCGGAAACTTTCGCGATGCGGTCGTTTTTATAAATTAAAAATCCCGAAACTCGCAACACTTGAAAGCCGCAGGATGTTAGCCGAGAAGAAAATCAGTTTAAAGCTCAAAGAATTACCAGAGCTTATGGATTTACCTCTGTGCTGTACACACGCATATTGTGTTTATCGGCTCGCCGATTCGTTATTACCGCCCACTAAAATCCCCTTATCGGTGCAAAACGCCGCTCGTTCCACTCGCGGTGACTTCGACGCGCAAAAGAGCGGGATATCGGTGTACCGTTAAATCCCCGAACCACTTTTGTTAATCCCACGCCAATATGTCTCGTGTAAATCAATTAAAAAAATACAAATCAATTCTCTGGTCTCTACACAGCGCGTTAATCGAACCCGACCGTTCGATTCCACTCTATTCCCTCTCTCTCTCTTTCTCTCTCTTCCCAAAATCTTCTACATCTAATTAATCATTACATTGTAGTGAATGTAAATAATTATCTAAGCCTAAGCAATTGACAATATTTCTGGTACAAGTCTCTCGTACGATCTAACGAATCTTCCCTCGCAGGGTGGCGCAACCGTTATTGCTCGGCCAGATGTTGCGCTATTTCAACACCATGGAAGTTGACAAGCTCTACGCGTATCTCTGCGCCGTCGGTGTCATTATGTGCTCCGCCCTCAACGTGTTCGTCGTCCACCCCTATATGATGGGCATCCTGCACATGGGCATGAAGGTCCGCGTGGCCTGCTGCTCGCTCATCTACCGTAAGACGCTGAGGATGACCAGGACCGCGCTAGGCGAGACGACGATCGGCCAGGCGGTCAATCTGTTGTCCAACGACGTCAACAGATTCGACGTCAGCATCATATTCCTCCACTACTTATGGCTCGGACCGTTGGAGACCATCATCATCACGTACGTCATGTACCACCTTATCGACATCGGAGTCTCGTCTATCATCGGTGTCACTTCTCTGCTTATGTTCATCCCTCTACAAGGTGAGAAGACTGTTCTGACCGTTTCCGACGATAATCGAGTTGAATGATTTAACATCTATGCGCTGTACACGTGTCGCCCGCGACGTTCAGAAACGCCTAAGTTAAAAGTATGACGGAAATTTTTTTTTGCTTCGATTAAACAGTTTTTCGAAATCTTAACTTTCCATTGATTTTGATCAATAATAACGAATCACTGAGTTTAATAAGTGATCATTAATTTAAATTAATGTTAATTTGAAATCCTCTATGAAAGATTCTAAATAGGTGTGCTTTTAGTTTCTGCGAAATACCAAAGTTTTCAAGTTCCTAAATTCTTGCTGCCACGTTTCCAAATTTCTCAATTTATTGCCAAGCTGCGTATTATATTTTTCCGCTTAATCGACACGTTTCGTTTCTCGAATCATCGAGAGTGCCCTCCAATCTTATTTCACGCCTCGTTCTCGAAATTTTTCAGCGTGGTTGGGCAAAAAGTCGTCGGTGCTGAGATTAAGAACCGCCATCAGGACCGACGAGAGGGTGCGACTGACGAACGAGATTATCAGCGGAATTCAAGCCATCAAGATGTACACCTGGGAGAATCCCTTCAGCGCGCTCATAGAAAAAGCAAGAAGGTGAGTACCGCCGCTTCTACTGATTACACAAGCAGCACTTGAATTAATTGTACGTTGAGCAACGTGTTCATTAGAGAGAAACGTCCATTGCAAAATGCACCTGTCAGCGTCTTCACAAATGGAAACGAAGAGCGTGTCAACGTGGTTTAATGCTTACGTCGATTAAAAAATCGTGGACTATACTTCTCGAGGGACTACGAATTTTTCGAGGGATAAAAAGAATTCCAACGGTAGAAATAGTCGTGTGACGGGACGATTAATATTATACGGCATTTAAAACTGATACAAGTTGTCGCGGAACATGCCGCAGATATGTTACTTCGAGATTTGCATTCTACATCGAGTTGAGTCAACGTAAAACTAACACGAGAGCGAATCGGCGCTTGCTTTGCTTGTACCTCAATTGTATTCATTGTTGATACGCTCGGATGAAATGATAACCGTCAGCGACGGTGACGGCCTTGTCGCTTCTACTGCGCTTCGCGCGTTTGCATGTTTCTAGATTGCTTTCAGCGAGATATCGTCTTTTAATAGAAACTCGAGCGATAAAGATTCCTGCACCTTTTTTTAACATCCTGTGCGTTTAAGCATATTAATTTGCATAGATTAAATATATTTTTGCGACATGCTTATGTACAATTTGTCTATTTCTCTGACAGTTTTGAAAATAAATATGTAATAACGTCTCAGAGGTCCATTGGCTCACATTCCTAGTCGTTAAATATTTTATAGCTATTTGATATAGTTAAATTTCTCTTAAAAAAACTATGTGTTGCGATCTATAATTCTGAAATTTGAGTTGCTTCTTTCAATTCTTGATTTTAAGCAATTACACGGACTTATATCGAACCTGGCTGTACTTTGCGAATAAAAAAAACAAAAACAAAATGCAGCATGAACAAAAGAGAAAAATGAGAGATTAATACTATGGGGAATTGGTTTGCAGGAAGGAAATAAACGTCATCCGATGGGCGTCGTATATCAGGGGTGTCACCATGTCGTTCATCATCTTCTCCACGAGGATGTCACTGTTCATCACGGTACTGGCTTACGTGCTGTTCGGCAACAAGATAACAGCCGAGAAGGTGTTTGTCATAACCGCATATTACAACAGTTTACGCACAACTATGACTGTTTTCTTTCCGCAAGGTATGCGATAGTTTCGCTGAAGTGCGATATCCGTATGTCATTGTTGATAAAGCACAAAACGGTTGTAGTTCTTAAATTTTTCCTTATTTTTTTCTTTCGTTTGATTTTCAATTTTATTTTGTTTCTTTTCAGCTTTATCTCTTTTCACTCTTCGTGTTTAGTGCTCTCTTTCTTGTACTTTTTTTCAATCACGATTTATAATTATAATCTTACATGCCGTGCACTTTATTATTTTAATACTATATGTTAAAATTCTAACAATCACATTTACTGTCAAAGTATCTTAGACGAACTATTTCTTGCGATTATTTTTAAAATCGTTCGCCTACACTGAAAAAATTTTCTGGTTGAATATAGACGAATCAGATAATTCCTTTAGGATTTACCAGAATTCCTGTAATCCTACAGAAATTCTGGTAAATCCTAAAGGAATTATCTGATTCGTCCATATTCAACCAGAAATTTTTTTCAGTGTAGATATGTTCTTTCTACATTAAACTCCTATCAGCAAACTGCACGTTTATTCTCTTTTATTTATCTACTTTGTCTTTATGGTAACCCAGGAATAACGCAGGTAGCAGAAGCGATGGTATCCATAAAACGGCTGCAGAAGTTCTTGATGTATGACGAACTGACACCTCCCGCGATCGAAGCGAACAAGAACAACGTGGATAACGCGAAGGAAAATAACAAGGAAGACGCGAAAGAGAACAATAAGGAAGACGTAAAGGAGAACACGAAGGAAGATCCGGCCGAGCGGAAGAAGAGCGACTACACGGTCGTAAACCAGCCGAATCATATCGAGCACAGCCTCTCCATCGAGAACGGCAGCGCCAAGTGGCTGGAGTATGAGCGGGAAGACACCCTGAAGAATATCAACATAAAGGTGCGTCCTGGTGAACTGATCGCCGTCGTCGGTCAGGTCGGCGCGGGCAAGAGCAGTCTGTTGAACGTCATCCTGAAAGAACTGCGCTTGCAGGAAGGCTCCATTCAAGTACGTTGACAACCTTAAAATGTTAAATATTATTTAAGAAATAATATATAATTTAAGAAAGGGATAAATATCGAGTCACTTTACTCACGAAAATTATTTTCTGTATTGTCCGTATATTTTTTTAATACTTTTTTTTCGCAGGTCAACGGCAAGATTGCCTATGCTAGTCAAGAACCATGGCTGTTTGCCGGGTCGGTGAGACAGAACATTCTTTTCGGACGGAAGATGGATCAGGTTCGATACGACCGCGTGACTAAAGTGTGTCAGTTAAGGAGGGATTTCAGTCTGCTGCCTTATGGCGATAAGACGATCGTAGGCGAGAGAGGTATCAGTCTCTCCGGTGGCCAGCGTGCAAGGTTGGTGGCTTACAGAGCTTCCCGATAAGGCACAATATGTGATACTTTATTCAAACTTTCAACTGCCGCTCATAATCTCGGAGACACTCAAATCTGATTTTTAATCGTTTTCTGTCCTGGTTACCATTTTTTGATATTTGTAATTCATTACTTGTATTTTCCTTATCGCAATTATTTCTTGCGATTATTTTTAATATTGTTTGCCTAGATATGTTCTTTCTACATTAAACTCCTATCAGCAAACTGAATTGCTTAAAAATTTACATCTATTTATTTGATACACGGAATAAGGATTTGATTTTTCACATTGTAAACTTATACATACATATGTGCTTCAAATAAGTTTTAATATAATATTACTATCGTTCAATTTAACTTTTACTCAAATATTAATTTTGTGAGAAATTTCACGATAAATTCACTTTCCTAGAAAATCGTATAAATAGTTAGCAAAGGTATAGTAGTTGTATATGTAAATGTGTGTGTGTGTGTGTATGTATATATATTGATAAAGTACTGATAATTGACAGAATAAACTTGGCGAGAGCCGTTTACGCCGATGCCGACATATTTCTCATGGATGATCCTCTGAGCGCCGTGGACGCCCATGTGGGCAAGCACATGTTTGAAGAATGCATCGACAAATATCTAAAAGGCAAAACTCGGATTCTCGTGACTCATCAGTTGCAATATCTGCGCAACGTTGGTAGAATTATCGTTCTAAAGGACGGTGCCATTCAGGCTGAAGGGTACGATTACTAGAGCATTTTCTCTCTTCTCAATCTTATTGTAATCTGGCTTCAATTTTGGTGTTGCATTAAGATTGCAACGAGATTGTCGTAAATATTTCGCGTCGATTAGTCATACATTTGTTTTATTGTTTCGTAGATTTTTAGTCTCGCGATTGGACCCTTCGGTTTTTTAATTCGAGGAAGGGCAGGAACGAAGGGACGACGGTGTAATTTTGTAGACCGAAACGGGAAAAACTGAAAAACTTCGTTAGGGCTCTTTACAAAACCACAATATGTATGTGCGAAATGACCTTCATAAAACTATCCGCTTCGGCTTATCTACCTATTGATATAGCAAAAGTTATTTTTCAAGGTTTTACGTTAACCATCTAGCATTCGAATGCCCGTGTGCCCGAGCCGTGCGAAATCGAGCAACTTTCGTTATTTTAAGAAAATTCGTTTATAAAATTTAAACAAATAGAACATCGCCACTTCTGTTGCCTCATATGAATTTTTCTCTTCAGCTCCTACGACGAATTGGGCTCTATGGGGGTGGATTTCGGTCGGCTGTTGGAGAATCAGGAGAAAGCGGACGAGAAATCCTCTCGACCCCCTTCGGCTCCTGTTAGCCGTAGCAATTCGCGTACCGCCAGTATCACGTCGCTGAGCTCCTTCATGACGAATGACACTTCGAAACAAGAGCCTGAGGAGGTAATTCTAACTCGCAATTTGGAAATACGGATACGTCTGCAAAACGAAAGCGTTCTAATTTTTTTTTTAATCATATAATTAGAATTGATATTTTGACACTAAATCAGCGTGATATGTTTATTGTTAATTTCAGGTGGCTGAAATGCGAACAGTCGGCACTGTTTCCAGCGACGTATACACAGGTTACCTCAAAGCTGGCGGCAATTGGTGTGTTATATTTATAGTGGCTATGCTTTGCTTAGTGACGCAATTAGCGTCCAGTGGCGGCGACTTCTTTATCGCGGTATGGGTTGAGCTAGAGGAACACTATGTAAGTGTCACAAATTACTATTATAAAATAATCGGCGAATTATATTGAGATATAAATATAGGATGTAAAAAAGACTTGAGAAATCTCAAATCTCCCAGTCAAGAATATTTTACAATTACTTTGTATTCAAAATTAGTAGGCTTTTTATATCCATAAAGTAAATTATATACTTATTATATAGTACGTACTTATTTTATTCAATTGTTAAATCACTCTCAATTCTAGCTTTGCTCAGAATTTTTTTAATTGTGCAACAAGAATTGATAAGGAATTTTGACACACGCGCGTGCACACACACACATGAGATAGACCTTTTAATTTAATTCCAGTAAATTAAAGCAGAGCTTTAATGCCTTTTTTCTAAAAACATGAAAGAAATCTCTGAGAAGGATTGCGGGGGAGCATTTAAAATCGAACTTAAATAGAAAAGTCCCATAATTACACATATATCTACATTACACATATATCATTACCTGCGTAATTTTATAGGTGAATCAAACAGACGAGGGCGTTGTGGAAGACCCGACGAGTCCCTTTACCCGCATGGAGTGCATCTACATCTACAGCATACTGACTGCGATGACGATCTTCGTCACTCTGATCCGCTCGTGGACCTTCTTCTGGATGTGTATGCGAGCTTCAATAAACTTGCACGATCGTATGTTCCGCAGCATCAGTCGCGCGACTATGCGATTCTTCAACACCAACACGTCGGGACGTGTGCTCAATCGTTTCTCTAAGGACATGGGCGCGGTGGACGAGATGCTACCCACTGCACTTATCGATTGTGTTCAGATAGGTCTGGTGCTGCTGGGTATCATCATCGTGGTCGCCGTCGCGAACGTGTGGCTGCTGATACCCACGGTGTTCGTCGCCATTGTCTTTTATTACCTGAGAATCGTCTACCTGGCCACCAGTCGTAGCGTCAAGCGTCTCGAAGGCATCAGTAAGTACCTCATGAGGCTCAACCTTCGGTAGATTAAAGATTGAAGTTGTGAATCTTGTCGAATTAACGATAGTTCCTGATTCTTCGGGTAAACTGAATGACATTTCTAACTTCCCTCAGCCCGCTCGCCGGTCTTCGGTCACCTGAGCGCGACTCTTCAAGGACTACCGACGATCCGCGCGTTTGGTGCGGAAGCGATCCTCACGAGGGAGTTTGATAATCACCAGGATCTCCATTCGTCCGCTTGGTACATCTTCATCGCGTCCTCGCGCGCCTTCGGCTTCTGGCTGGATGTCTTCTGCGTGCTCTACATCATGCTGGTTACGCTGAGCTTCCTCGTGCTGGACAGTTACGGTCGCGGCTCGATGGACGGCGGATACGTAGGCCTGGCGATCACTCAGAGTATCGGACTCACCGGCATGTTCCAGTGGGGTATGCGCCAAAGCGCCGAGCTGGAGAACCAAATGACCTCGGTGGAGCGCATTCTTGAGTACAGGTACCCGCCTGTTCTGTTGTACTATTCGTGTATCTCTTCACTCACAATCTTCAATTCTCCACCAACTTTTTGTAAAATCGACTCGAACGTGGGATCGAATCTATGATCTACTGATCACTAGTCGATCTCTCTCGTACAAAGCTATGCGTCACCTCATTATCGATCATGTTTTAGATTTTTAAATGTTTAATCTCTACGAATCTTGCGCGCTTGGACTGTTTTTCAGAAACATTTTTGTAAATCTTTGAATCTTTGATTTAGATCTAAGGCAGCAAATGTCTCCTAGACATTTTTGCTAAGATTCGTGACTTTTAATATCAATACTTTTCTACTTCTGCATCTATCTTGACGCTTAAATTTATAAGATTCAGGATTGGGAATGTGAAATTTTCCGAGTATTCTGATCTCCTTCGATTAATATTAAATGTCGCGTTAATATTCCCCGCAATCCTCTTTCAGCAAAGTAGACAGCGAGCCGCCTCTCGAGAGCGCCCCGGATAAGAAGCCCAAGGCGGAGTGGCCACAGGAAGGCAAGATTGAGTTCAAAGACGTGTTCCTGCGCTACGCGCCGTTGGAGCCGCCGGTGCTGAGAAACCTCAACTTCATCATCTTCCCGCGCGAGAAAATCGGCATCGTCGGCAGGACTGGCGCCGGCAAGTCGTCCCTGATCCAGGCGCTCTTCCGCCTGGCCGACGTGGACGGCGTGATCGAGATCGACAAAGTTGACACGGGCAAAATCGGCCTGCACGATCTGCGCTCCAAGATCAGCATCATCCCTCAGGAACCGTTCCTGTTCTCCGGTAGTCTGAGACGAAACCTCGACCCGTTCGACATGTACATGGACGATCCGCTGTGGCAGGCCCTTGAGGAGGTCGAGTTGAAGGAGATGGGTCTGGAGGCTCACATCTATGAGGGCGGCTCCAATCTCAGTGTCGGTCAGCGTCAACTTGTCTGCCTGGCACGCGCCATCGTCAGAAACAACCCGATACTCGTGCTGGATGAAGCGACGGCAAACGTGGATCCGCGGACGGACGAGCTGATTCAGATGACGATCAGAAAGAAGTTCGAGAAATGTACAGTGTTGACAATCGCTCATCGACTCAATACCGTCATGGACAGCGACCGCGTCCTGGTGATGGACGCCGGCAACGTGATGGTGAGTCAATCTTTTCATCGTCTTGATTTTTCATGTATTCTTTCTTGGATGGAATGGTCTATCGAGGGTCTCGGTAGATGGCAAGATCTTTTCTTCTTTCTGTGATCGTGGAGAATCATATAATTATGAATTATTCTCGCAACGTGTTTTTACTTTCTGTTCCCGACTCTGGAGTTATTTCTGTAATCTTTCAAAAGCCTAATTACGTGCGTGTCGTATTCGTATTTTATGATATACCTACAAATTTATTCTTTGATCGTTCTTTTACTAAGTTAGTTTGAATAAGTCGCTTGGTTGCGATAAAATTGCTACGTATAATCAGACAATGGTAATTGTTTTCAACACGAAAGTGCTGGCGCTATCTCGTTCCTTTCCGCGATACAAGCCGTCAGCAGGCATGATCGTATTTTCATCATCCCCGGTGTAAAAGTTTTATACGCGACGCGTATCAAGCTGCGAGGGATATAACGAGAGCGGGTAAATCGTAAATCACGAGCTCTCCCTTCGAAAGTGTGCTTTTATCGTTCGCAGGAATTCGATCATCCCCACGTGCTGCTGCAGAAGGAGACGGGCTATCTGAAGAGCATGGTGCACGAGACCGGCAAGGCGATGGCGGATGCTCTGACCGCCGTAGCCCGTGACTGCTACCAGAATCGCGCGTTCACGGCGCTTTGATGCACCATCGACGTTTTATTTCTCGCAATTGCGTCCGACAGACACCGTGATAGGTTGCTGCGAAAGTCCCGTCGGTTTTTACAACCGTCTCTCAGACAAAATCCTACGGATTCGGGAAGTAAGGGAAAGGTGGAATTGCGGGGTGAAATTTCTTTTGAAAATATAGAATTTACACTCGAATTTATTCTACTTACCGTCCTCCACGTTCTATTTGCGTCCTCAAAAGTCTACTCCTTTCTTTCGACGTGTTATAGTGTTTAAGATATTTCATTCATCGGCATGCGTGAATTTGGGGAATCAAAAAAGGAAAATCGAGAAACGAGAATGTTTTGAGGATAGAAACAATTTGGGATGTCAGGGTTTAGGATAAATAAAATCTAAAATGATTCAAGAGTTAATTAAGAAGTACAAAAAAATCTAGGAATATGTAAATTCAAGAATTCAAAACGGATTTGAAGAGAGAAGAGGAAAGTGATGAATAAGCGTAGAGAAAAATAAGAGATTGGTGCAGTCTCTCGCATTCGGAATTCGCAGACTTGAAGTTCCAAGGAGCTAAATATTTAAAAGGACTCGAAGATATGAGGAACCGAGAACTCAGGAACGCACTGAGAGGCTACGCGGAAACTGGCGAGACTTTCGTCGGCGGAATAATATATTAATAATCGTTTTTACCGCGAGCTGCACGGTTCCATCTAGCTGATCTTGTCTTCTTAGTAATCGCGGATTCTCTGCCACTTGGACGTGACGCGCGATTATCGTCAACGCGTGCCAGTGCAGCGAGCAATCAGGAAATCAGTAAAGTTCGCGTGGATCGCGGTGCAACCATAGTTACAGTATTATTACGCCACTTTTGTATCAGCCTGACTCAGATGTTTCGCCAGGAAGATTGAGGCTCAACCCGTTGCATCACCGATACCTCTTGTCGTCCGCGAACTGCCATAAACTGCTTTTAGAAAAGAATTTTTTTATATTTAATCGATCGCGGTCAAGTCTTCTAGAAATTCCGATTTGAAAATCGCAATAATGATTGTCATGGCAGTTTCAGTTTCTTAATGTACGCATGCTCAGAACTGATGATTAAGTATCGTAGTTTCAGTATCGCCGGCGACACGTGAAAAATATTTTGAGTCTGGTATCGAAGTTCAGCTAGTCGCGATAGGGAGAATGCGTGCAGCACAGTTCCGATTAAATATACCATATGTATATATTAGAGATAACTTTATTACAGAATGGACATGCGAGTAAAGTATTAGAATTCCAAAAGGTAGTGAAGGCTCCCAAAAAGAAAGGACGTAGAAAAGGGAGAGTGCCAATGTTGTGTAACTCGGTATTCCTCATTATGTCCAGGACCATACGGGGATTAACTGATACTAGCACAGATAGAAGGATGACTCTGGGGTCACATGGTGTGCTGAGTTCCTAAGATTTTGCCTTGTGTTTTATTCGTTTTCAACGAGTTTCACTGAAGAAGACCCGAAGAAGGGTCGAAACATTTGTTTCTTATTAAAGAGAAATTCTGACTTTTATTGTGTAAGAACTGAGTTCTGTTCATTTTGTGGCTTACATTGGCACTTTCCCCTTTCTACGTAAAATATTAGAGCATGTATAAGTAGATATATTCAGATGCGTGTGAAAGTAGTGAAGAATGTAAACGTGAAGAGGATAAACTGTCAAATTCTTTTTCCAAATTCTAAGAACTTGAGTCTTAAGAGATCCAAACCCGGATTATCTCCGATCGATTGTGATAATCAAATAATTTATACAAGGGCCACAAATTTTGATATCTTGCTATTTGCTTCTATTTTCCAAAGAATTTTGAGACTTGATACTTGAAAAGTTGGAAGTTTGATTCATTTAATTTTATTCTATCTTGAAGAGATTATTGTCAAGAATGCAATCGCCGCAGAGTCGGTCGGTCGGTGAATCAACGGGTCGAGAGAATTATACGTAACGTAAGATAGCGCAGAAAACAAGATTTTTATACTCATTGTATATTCCGACAAATAGACATAAAGAGCGTCCGGGAGAAACGAGTCACAACAGTAGCAGGTCCATAATTCGTTCATCCTCGTCGCTTTTCAGGTCATCCTGTATATCTATGAATTTGCAAAGATTTTACAATGTTCCTCTTGTCGCACTACAAGTACAAGAAGAAAAGGTGCCTCTGCTCTAGATTTAAATGCGAAGTACTGAATTATGCAAAGAGTGCTACGACAGTATACAGATTTTCTATTATTCTCTTATTATTGTATTATTATTAAAATAGGCGCATTGTACTCAATCTTCGCGTAAGTAATGCAGAATCAAAAAGCAGCGAAATCAAAGTACTTAACGCCTTTCTCGAAGATCATGTTTTATATATTCGAGGAGTTTTCGCCGAGCCTAGAAAGTAATAAGCGAGTGTTTACGATCGACTGCATTAAAAAACTGCGTTGAAAACAACATCGATACTAGGGGAGAAATCGTTCTTAAAGATTAATATCAAACTGACATTTGTACAAAGAGATTGGTAAATGTAGTCTTTATATTTTTCATATCGCCCTTTTCTTATTATCAATTCCTTTATCTATGTATATTTGTGATAATTATTAGTATTGATCATTAATATCACAACTTGTATCTCCTTATATTTTCAATTCTATATTTTTCGATCCTTAACATGTTTATTGTTTTGTAATTTACGTATATTTTTTTAATACGCTATTCCTTAATGTAATGTTTTAGATTTGCACTTTTTTAACTTCCCTTTATTTGTTCTTGCACTCGACCTTAATTTTTTATTTAGTTAATCTTCTATTAAAAATCTTTAATTCGTGTATTGTTTTACCTTTAAATGTATATTTTTTAATCCATCCATGTAAGAGTCACCAATTGTTTGGATTTTTTTGGATGCTAACCTTTGTATTAATTAAATTGTTTATATTAGTATTTTATTAATTACGTCGATATGTTATGTGTTATATCGAACAGCAACGAAACAGCGAACAGAAGGTAATTGTGGTCGATCAGAGACGTCCCATATTGTATATGAATACTATACCGATTCGTGCTCAGTTTTTAATCCCTTTTCTTTCATTAATATTTGCAATCGTCAACTTCAAGTAATCCTTTAAACTGTAGCATAACGTTTAAAGAAATGTACATTTCTTTTCAAATATTGACACAACTTTTGTAGTTGTGTCAAACAGTTATTATGATTGTACTACGATATGCAGGATTTGTCAAAAGTGTGGAATCCCCTAAATAATTGTTGTAAAAATGAAAATATCAAAAAACGGTAAAACACGTATTTTAATTTTTCAAAAAAACTATCTTTCGACATGGATACCGATCATCCCCCCTCCCCAGGTACGCGGGGGTAAAAGGGGGGTTGAAAATTTTAAATGGGACCCCCTATTTTTTATTGCATATTCTTATAGCTTACTTCTAGCGCTTTCCAAAACGCTATAATAAAGTATTTTTTCATTAAGAACTTTTTGAGTTATTAAGGTTTGAAAGTCCCAATATTTTGACATAAATTACAAAATATTACAAAAAGAATATACAATAAAAAATAGGGGGTCCCATTTAAAATTTTCAACCCCCCTTTTACCCCCGCGTACCTGGGGAGGGGGGATGATCGGTATCCATGTCAAAAGAGTTTTTTTTGAAAAATCAAAATACGTATTTTACCGTTTTTTGATATTTTCATTTTTACAAAAATTATTTAGGGGTTTCCACACTTTTGACAAAACCTGTATAAATATATTGTACGATATTACGATATTGTATTATTGTACTTCGATATTTGAATAATTATTAAAGCAATGCTAAAATAATTATTTGACGCTGCTAATACTAGTGTCAGAAAAAGGATTAAGAAAAGCGCATAGATTACTCACGATGGACTTCAGGGTACATGTTCCGTAAATTATACAGAAAACGCAATCATATTGTAATCGTCATTATCAATATTTATTATGTATGTAGACAGGTGTATTGTACTTTTAGGTGAAAACGAATTACAGTACCTTACATACAAGTGCCTACATTATGTAACGTAATCATTGTAAACGAAATATAGATACAAATGATTATTTATGTAATTACTCCATCATATATATTTTTGTTCCTCTACTTTCCTGCTTTTAATTACATTGTCCTTTAATTACCTTAACGATAGCTTACAGTCAACATATTACATCGTCGATCTAAAAAACGAGGATCCCATCGATTATGTATGTATATACGTTACGGCGATGATAATCAAAGTCGATACATTCAGAGTCTCTATCCTCGATACAAAACGCGCTTGTCTTACAAAGTAACGGTTCTTTTTTTTTTCTTTACAAGGAGATATGCGTAGACTTACATTGCACACCGATAGGTCTCTCAAACTCTTTATTTTTCACCAAGAACAAGATACACGTGCTTGTTAGAGAAACGCAAAATAAATAATAAGTTAAAATTACGAAAAATGACAAATGAATATCGACGGATCGAGTAAAAAAATTTAAAGCAACATAAAGATTACGATGCCTCTAATTATGTAAGTACACGCAACTAGACGCGGCTCGATGCCTCGTTACTTATCGGACTACGTCAAGTTGCTCGTTTCGAAAGTACCCGAGCTATCAGCGGGAGAATAAAACGGGTGGAATCAATAAATACATTTCTCGTTGGCGAATCAATTGATCTCGGCGATAAGAACCCAAATAGCACAGGTGATCATTATGAACTCAAAAAGAATTCTTTTTCATCCTTCGTGAATTATTGGCGCTGCTCAAACTGAGCTCAAACATATTCCTTTCCGGTAGTTAAAAAATTCGATCCTCTAGTATACCTTTTGATTTCTATGGAAGTAAATTAAAGTTGTTCCAAGTAAAAAGAATTTCTTTTGTATCCGGAAAAGAACTCGGAATTAGTGAACGGAAGCGAATTTGAACTCGTAGGAACATTTGCAGAAGCGAAGTGAAAGAGAAATTCATTTCGAGAATTCAGAAAGAATTCCTGTCGGATCGCCCGTGCTGTCTGGGGACCGTTCGTCGCAATCGAGCGAGAGAAAGGTGTCGAAGCGTACGTTAAATCTAAAGCGCAAAGAAAACAAGTACGATAAACACAAGTGTGGTAAACTAGAGCTATTCCTCTAAAGGTCGCTTATCAGCTATCTGGCCGCCCTTAGGACCTCGCACAGCATATACAAGGAAATCATCCTTAAACGCCGCAAACACATGCCCCGCTATGAACAATTAGAACGTCTTACACGTGCCATTATTACTCGCACCGTCAAGCAATCGACGCAGTCAGTCAGACGCACAGTACGTAAACATTTATCTAGAGTTATGCGACCCCCAACTCATCTTCGTCGTCCTGTCGAGTAAGCTATCTATAGTAAAAAGAAGAACGTACGAAAGTCCCGCGCTACTCCTAGGATTCT